CCCACAGCCCCCTGCTAGCCCAGCCCTGCCCCTGGGTCCCGACCCACAGCCCCCTGCTGTCCCCCGTCTCTCCTGTTTAGGGGACACACACCATATTACACCAGACTGGGCAGCACCAAACTGCTGCTGCCCCTTGCAGCCCAGCGCCCCCCGCAGGCAGGGACCTGCTCACCAGCGGCCCCTGGCAGGCGCTAAAGCTTTTCTCTCCGTAGGGCGCCTACAACATAAACCAGCTCCGCAATCCTGACTTCTTCCCCCTACCCTGCCCCCCGGGCAAGCAGCCAATCCGGAGAGACACTCCCTACAGCTACGCCACCCCGCCCTATCCACGGAAACTGCCCGCCAGCCCCTCTGACATCGAAGACTTCATCAATGAGGTGAGCGGGCGGCAATGTCATGGGCTGGTGCTGCTCCCAGCCGGCCCCGGCGTGCTCCTGCCAAGCTGGAAGAGGTCAATGGGCCAACCGGGCCGGTCTGCCAGCCCCAGGGCCCCCGCTCGGCCAGATGCCCCCAGGACCAGTCTGCCAGCCTCAGCGCCCCCACTCGGCCAGGTGCCTCCAGGGCCGGTCTCTAGCCCCAGCACCCCCACTCGGCCGGGTGCCCCCAGGACCAGTCTGCCAGCTCCTGCTCGGCCGGGCTCCTAAAGGGCCAGTCTGCTGGCCCCAGGGCCCTGCTCGGCTGGCTTCCAGCCGCGCTGCAGCCTGCCCGCTGGGATCATTTTTCCAGCATCCAAACCATGCTGGGCCCCTCCAAGGACAGACACAGCCCCTGCCCTGAGTGGGAGGGGTGACATTGGCACAGGAGGGAGGGAACTGGGGTCCCACACCACACTCAGGCTGTGACTGGCTCGACATGGGTGGGGCTTGGTGCTCCAGTGGGCACCATGGGGCTCCCAGGATCTGAGGGGTGGGCACAGGCGGCAGGGGCAGGCCAGGCGCTGGCAGGAGGGCCGAGCTTGGGCATGGAGACAGGTGCCTGGCCCAAGGGCTGCTGCCAACTAGCCAGTAGCCACGCCCCTCCCCCCAGCCTCACAGCCCTTTTCTCCTGTTCCCAGGGGCTGGAAGCAGCCGACAGCGACCCCAACATCCCCCCCTACGACACAGCCCTCATCTATGACTGCGAGGGCTCCGGCTCCGTGGCCGGCTCGCTCAGCTCCATCGTGTCCAGCCTGACGGATGGCGACCAAGACTACGACTACCTCAGCGAGTGGGGGCCGCGCTTCCGCCGGCTGGCAGACCTGTACGGGCACTAGGGCTGGGGCAGGGAGGGGGACTCAGGGACCGGGGGGGCAGAGCTCGCTCCTGAGTGTCAGGGAATCCTGCGAGCAGGGGGCTGGGTCCTGCCCAGCACCAGCAGAACCTGAGAGCAGCCGCCTCTGCAGGACACGGCCCTAGCGCTGCTGAGCCCCGGGCACGGGACACCTGAACAGCACCAGCCTTGGGAACAAGCTGCTTTTAACAGCAGAGCCAGCCCGGGGCCCAGGCAGCCCCCCACATGCCAGGGGCTGGGCTGGGCGAAGCCAGCTCCTGCAGCTCAGCCCGGCCTCTGCCCACCCACCAGCCCCAGGAGGGCGCAGGGATGAGAGAACTGCACAGAGACCCATGCGCCCAGCTCAACCTGCAGCGAGTGCTGAGCTGGGCTCTGGGGGGAGGCTCCTGCCAGGCCACCGTCCAAAGCCGGGGGCAGCACAAGGGGCAGAGGGCACCAGCAACCGGGCAATGGGGAGAGCACCACAGCCAGCCTTAACTTTAGCCTGGCTCTCAAGGGGCAGGCTGGGGAGCAGGAGGCAGCCAGGAGCAGGTGGAGGGCTGGCAGGGCAGAGGGGGAGCAGGGGGAGGAGAGGGGCAGGGCACAGGGGAGCACGGGGAGGAGAGGGGCCGGGCTGGCATTGGAGGAGAGGGGCAGGGCTGGCATTGGAGGAGAGGGGAGCAGGGGGAGGAGAGGGGCAGGGCTGACTATGGAGGAGAGGAGCAGGGGGAGGAGAGGGGCCAGGCTGGCAGGGGGAGGAGAGGGGCAGGGCTGGCATTGGAGGAGAGGGGCAGGGCTGGCTACGGGGGAGGTACATTATGCAGTGAGGCTCAGGGCACTCTTGCAGCAGACGTGGAAGGGGCAGAGACTGGCTGGGAGCCCGGCTCCTGGAGTAGCTGAGCTGGGAGAGGGCAGAGAACAAAGTCCTCCAAGGGAGGGGGGGGTCCTGCCAGGGGGGCGGCCAGGGAGCTCAGTGCAGGAAAAGGGGAGCAGGGGGTCAGGAGTGAGGGGCAGGGCTGGCAGGGGCCCTGGAGCAGCTCAGGCCCAGGACGCCTGGGGAAGCCCCTTCCTGCAGAGGCCCCCAGCAGGGGGAATTGCTCAAGCCAGGCGGCGGGGGGGGCAGGGCCGAGGGCGGGGGGCAGCGGCAAGGCACAGCTAGCCTAGGGAGGCAGGAGGGAGCAGGGCAGCAGCCCCTGGCTGAGCCAGCCCCTCGGGCCCTGCCTGGCTGGGGCGCTCAGGGCAGGGGTAGCCCCACGCTGGCACCCGAGGAGGCCGAGGGCTGTGCCAGGGCCAGGAGGCTCTGTTCCCTGGGGAGGTTCTGACAAGTGCCAGGTGAGAATCCCCCTACGTCACCCCCCAATAAAGAGACTTGGAGTGCGGCACTGGCTGGAGCTGGGTGCTGCATGGGCAGGGGGCACCTGCCAGTGGAGGGGGAGTGAAGTGCTGCTCCTGGGCCTGGGTTAAGGGGGCTGCCCAGTGCTAGGCCGGGGCCCCCCAGCCCAGCCTCCTCCCCCCAAGGCCCCCAGAGAGAAAGCAGAACCAGGCCCAGGCTAGAAATAAGGCACATTTTATTAGTGAGCCACTCACCTGGCCAGGAGGCAGAGGGACTGGTGTTCCCTGAGCCCCCCATTCCCAGCCGGGCTCCTTAGGAGGGGGTGGGGGGCACTCTCCTCCAGGCCCCGCTCCCTGCAGGGCTGGTACGCAGCAGGGGGTGTGGGAGCCCCCAAACACCCCAGTGAGGCAGGCCCAGGCAAGGCAGAGGCAGCAGCCCCGCCGGTAGGAGGCTGCGCATGGCACCTAACCGTCACGCCAGGGCCTCCAGACTAGCAGAAGGAAGCTGCTGCCCGCAGACGGTCGTGCGATGGGCCCCAGGAGGTACCGCACACAAACGACACAGCCCGCTGGGCGCAGGAGACGCCTGTAGCCCCAGGGCAGTTAACACTGGGTGCTGTCCCCCCGCCCACAGGGCACAGTCCCCACAGACAGCCCAGCCCAGCTAAATCTCCTGCTGGGGGTCACCACCCGGGGCAGGCTCCAGCAGCAGCTGCCTGTGCCGCGGGGGGGTGCGCCGGTGGGAGCTCAGCATCTTCTTGGTGGCAGTGACGAGGCGGGCGTAGTCCTGGGCCTCGGGGGCGTGGCCGGCGCTGCGGGGCGAGAGCAGAGGCAGCTGGTCCCTGCGGCGGGAGGAGCGGAAGAGCGGGGGCCGGCGCTGACTCTCACCGTCCTGCAGCGACTCGGGCAGGCCCTTGCCCTTGCTCTCGGGCAGCAGCATGATGCTGAGCACGGAGAGGATGGCGAAGGAGGCAAAGACCACGTGGTGCAGGAAGAAGCCCCGGTTGTTCTGGATGTCCATGATGGGCCCAGCCGCTTTGCCCACGAAGCTGGCAGCCATGATGAGGCCCAGCCCAGCGCCCCTGGGGACACACACACCAGGCCCTCACCGAGGGACAGCGCCTCCTCCTGACCAGAGCATGGGGCAAGGGGGTGCCACACCCCAACCTGGCGGTTGGGAGAGCTGGGGCTTTGCCTGGGAGCTGGGCTGGGCCTGGCCCCTGCCTGGGCAAGCAGCCAAGCACCACGTGAAGCAGCCCCCAGGCCTGGCTGTGTCCTCCCAGCAGTGGGGCATGGGCTGGCTGGGGCAGGAGGACACAAGGGTCATGCCCCACGGGACTCTGCCATGGCATGCAGGCAGCGGTTTGGTTGACTTGGGGGCAGTACATCACAGGGAGAGCTGTAGGGGCAGCCCCCAGGCTGGGGCACTGGATCAGACTGGGGGAAGCTGGCTCTATTCCCAAGGGGTCCCCCTGGAAAGGGTTCCCCAGGGAGGTGGTGGAATTTCCTTCCTTAGAGGTTTTTAAGGTCAGGCTTGACAAAGCCCTGGCTGGGATGATTTAGTTGGGGATTGGGTCCTGCTTTGAGCAGGGGGTTAGACTAGATACCTCCTGAGGTCCCTTCCAACCCAGATATTCTATGATTCTTGAGGCTCAATACCCACCCCTCAGAGAACTTGCTACAGCCTCCCCCCCCGGGAAGCCAGTTCTGCCCCCTCCCCTTCCACCTTTCCGGGCCCTGCATCACGCACTAGCCCATGGCTGCCGTGGGAGACGCGGGGCTGCAGTGCGGGCCCATCTCCTACCTGACCACGGTGGGAAGGACCTCGCTGGCAAAGAAGATGCTGAGCATGGTGACCGCTTGCGAGTACGCGATGCCCAGGACAGAGAGGGTCAGGATGATCCAGTCCAGGAGATCTAGAGTCAGGAGCGAGGGAGCGGAGTGAGCGCACGCCACAGTCCGGCTAGCTGGGGCCTTGGGTGCAGGTGGGCTCCAGGGCTGGCTCCCCCATGGATTTACAACACAGGGTTTTTAAGCCCTGCCTGGTGAGTGGGGCAGGGAATGTACCCATGTGCCAGCCCAGGGAGACCGCCAGCAGCCCACGCCTGGCGCCGGCAGCTGCTCCCTGGGCAGGACAGAGGGGCTGAGCACACACCTCAGAATGCCCCCTCCCCAACCAGGGGTCCACCCCTCTCCAGTATCAGGGGTGGGCAGAGCCGCCAGCAGATTCCTTGGCTCTCACCACCCTGGGGGGAGTAACTCCAAGGCTGGGGGGAAGGAGGGCGGGAGGGGGACAAGGCCGCAGCAGGAAGCCAGGTGGTTTGGAGTCCCAGGCTCGCAGCATGACTTACCCACCGGCTGGGGTGGCTTGCCCTGCCCTGGGGGGGTGGAGGGGAGGGCAGCTACCTGGGGTTCAGGGCTTGGGTGAGCAGCTGGGCACGAATGCTGTGACTTGTACGCTGGTTCGCAGTTACCGGGAGACCCAGGGAGCTCACGCCCCTCCTTCCCAAGGACCAGCGCCAGCGGAGGGGCGGCCAGCATGCAATGGGGCAGAACTGCTAGTCCCCACGGGCCAGGCCAGGCCCCCCGGCCCTTACACTGCGTCAGGGCCAGCAGCAGCAGCGAGGCGATGCCGGTCAGGATGGTGCAGAGCAGCAGGATGGGGCGGCGCCCGAAGCGGTTGACGGTGACGCACAGGAAGAGGCAGGCCGCGGCCTCCAGCGCCGCCAGCAGGAAGTAGGAGAAGTAGAACCGGGGGAGGTAGGGAGCCAGGTTGCGGGTGAAGCAGTGCCGGATCCCGCTGCCGATGAACCTGCAGGAGGGCAGGGGGCGCTGTTCACGAGGAGGGCAGCCGAACCGCGACCTAGCTAGGGCACGCGACGCGAGTTGGGAGGGTCTCAGCCTGGCCGCCGGGCGAGCTCTGTGCCCATCACTCACCGCCATGCAGCCTGCACAAGCAGCGAGCTCTGCTCAGGCTCAGGGCAGCCGGGACGGGGAGAGCAGGGGCAGGCGGGTTGGAGGGAAGGACGGCACAGAACCGTGCTGGGGGAGCTCAGGGCTGGGATAGCAGGGAGAGTATGGGGGGTGCTGTGGATTGAGAGGCATCAGCAGGGCTGTGTGTACGGGGGAGCCCAATGCTAGAAGAGCTGGGAGCAAGGTTGCCCTGGCACACGGGGAAGTGCCCAGGAGAGCCAAGGAGGCACAAGGTGGAGCAGGGAGGCCCATGGTCCAGCCATTCCCTGCCCCCAGCACGTGATGGGTCCTTACGCCGTGAAGCCGAGGATGAGGCTGTTTTTCCAGATGACCCGGGTGCAGAAGACGTCGCAGAGGGTGTGGTAGCGTGGCAGCGGGACCCCGTCAGACTCCAGCTCTGGGGGCGCAAGAGCAGCAGGGTCAGCGCAGCTCCGGGGCAGAGCCAGAGGGAGGGACGGAGCCTAGGAACAGCTGGGTCCTAGAGCGTTAGTGTTTCAGCCAAGGCCGGGAGGTGGGGGGACAGGGAGGAGGAGCAGGTTCAGACTGGGGGGGGTGGGGGGGAGTGCGCCACATGAGAACAGCACAGGACTCAGCCTGACTTTGACCCGCGGCCGGGGCCCTCGGGCCCAGCTCTCACCTGCTAACAGGTGCTCCTGGCTGTAGAATTCGTCCTCCAGGCTCACGCCGTTGCCCTCAGCAAGGGCTCGCAGACCCTTCCTGCCCTTCTCCAGCTGCCGCGTGGCCAGCAGCCAGCGGGGCGACTCTGGGAACAGCGACGGGCAGCTGGAGGGAGAGCGTCACCAGGGTCACCGCAGGCCCAACCTCAGCACGCGGCCGCACGGAACCTGCTCCCACGACACTCCGCACCCTGCCAGGCAGGGGCAGCCCTGCAGGGAGCCCCCCGGGCGAGGGACGGTGGCACCAAGCCAGGCCAGGCTCACTGTGACCCATCACAGCCATCTACTCTGCACAGTCTGGGGTGCACTCAACCCGGGGACTAGACGGGGAACCCACACCAGCAGCGCCCCCCAGCGCCTGCACCAGGCTCCCCCCAATCCTGGGGCCAGCAGCACAGGGACCCAGCCGCTGCTCCTGCCCCCCAACAGCCGCTCCCTGCCACGTTGCCACTTGAGGAAGTGACATTCTAGCCCCGTCCAGGGCTAACTGAGCTCCCGCTCTCTCTGCCACCCCCACACCCACCTGCCCTGCAAGCCCCAGGTCTGATCAGGCCACAAAGCTCAGAACCAACCTGGCAAATAAATTAACTGTGTTTAATCTGCGTGGAGCAAATATTTACCCCCAGCCCCGTGGGCTCAAGGGCCCCTTCGGAGGCAGCCGGCGCCGCACTTGAGCTGAAGGGCCTGGGGCGCGTTTGACCCAGCCGCAGTCCCAGAGTCGCTGCCAGCCGGATTCACCATCGCTGGGACGTGTGGGGGGGAGGAGGCGCTGCCTGTATTCCCCATGGGCCGCTCATGCCATGGAGCTGGGTCTTGGGTCCCTGCCAGCACGTCAGCTCTGGCATAGGAGGCTGTATAGGTCAGGGAAGGGTTGGGCGTGATGGGGCCCAGTGCCTCAGGGTGGGGCTCTCCCCCCAGCCACTCCAGCTCCCCGGCCATCTTCCCACAGTGTCCGGCAAAGCCAGGCTGGCCCTGCCCCGCCCAGCTCCCAGCCCCCCCGCAGCACAGCCGGTCCTTACCCCCAGCAGGTGGCCAGCACAGCCAGCGTCAGCGTCACCGCACCCTGCAGCAGCCGCCACTGCCGACACAGCACCGCCAAGCCCGGCAGCAGCAGCTCCCCGGCAACCCAGAAGAACCCCGCAACCATGACGACCATCAGCCGGTGGGGAGGGTCGCACAGCTCCAGCCCTGGGGTGGGGAGAGAAAGGCCCTGCTCAGACCAGACCGGGGGTGTAAGATCAGGCTGACACCACGCAAGGCGAGCGCTGGGCAGGGACAGCGGGGCCGGCTTCTGCTCCCAGCCTGGCCGGCTTCTGCTCCCAGCCTGGCCGGCTTCTGCTCCCAGCCTGGCCTGACTGATGAGGGGCGCCAGCTGGGAGGGGGGCTGCGGAGTCAGGCTCCCCCACAGCCCCCGGGTCACCTCTTCAGAGCAACGCACAAGCAAGAGCCTCTTGGGGCTGGGCCTTGCAGCCCTGGGCAATGTGGGAGCAAATACAGCCCTGTGCGGCTCAGCTCGCAGGGGGGCCGACTCCCCAGGTGACCGTGTGCTCTCCCCACTCCCCGGGGCTGCAGCAGACACCCCTAGCCTCCGGCTCCCTCCTGGCAGCCACTCCCCGCCGAGCAGGGGACCATTCGCCGGAGTCCCAGGGCCAGTTACACTGGTGTTTCAGAGGAACCTAGCTGGGCATCACACGCTTCAGAGCGGCTGCCCCGTGAGCCAGCCAGGGGGCCATACAGCCAGGAACACGTCACCCATCTGCCCTAGGGCTCCAGCCAGGACAATTTCCCAGCCTGCGCTGAAACCCCCCTGCTGGTCAGCTGGAGAAGGACAATGCCCACCACATGGAGGGAGGGCGCTGGGGTTACATTGGCAGGTGACCCTAGGACGGGGCAAGGACACATCACTTCCCAGACCAGACCCAAACTGAGCCCAGCTGGGCTCTCCACCCCCCGGCCGGGGGGGGGGGGGGAGGGAAGGAGAGGGAGAGGGAGCTGCAGAGGTAATTACTTAGACTGTCAGCTCTCAGGGTCAGGGACAGTCGGTCTGGTCTGTGTTCGTACAGCGCCTAGCACCAGGGTGCCGGTCCATGTCTGGGGCCCCAGTAATACAAAGAAGGGATACTATAAAAGCCAGGGCAAGGGGCCACATGCACAGGGCCATGGAGCTCCGCGGGGTGCCCTCTCCTGGAGCAGGGAAGGGGCGTGTCCGGTGGCGGACCAAGTGGACTCACGTGCAACGTAGAGGGAGAGGAAGGTGCCAGCCAGCGCAGCACCGAGGAGGAGCCGCAGCGCCAGCAGCATCATGTAATTCAGCGCCAGCGCCACACCGATGCCCAGGGGAACCGCCAGCACCAAGGAGAACACGAAGGTGGCACGCCGGCCAAACCTAGAGGTGAGAGCCAATGGGCAGTGAGCTGGGCAGGGGGAGAGACACAGAACAGCCCCCACCCCCCAGGGCACATATCAGGGCTGGCCACAAACCCAAGGGTCAGGGCTGGTTATGGACAATGCTGCACCTGGCCGGGTGGGAGGGTCTGATCAGGGGCCCCTTGTGGGTGGTGCTTTACCTGTCGCAGGCCAAGCCGAGCGCAATGCAGCCGCTGAGCCAGCCCAGCAAGTAGGTGGTCTGTTCGAGTGGCACCTTCCAGCGATCCGAGCACACCAGGTCCCACTGCCAGAGGAAGGACGAGTGAGCCATGAAGTCCTTGATGCTGCCCTGAAGGGGCCTAATACGGGGGTGAGCTGAGCAGACATGGTACCGTCCCATCGTTCCAGGCCACTCAGGGGACATCCCATCCCATCCCCCACTGCAATGCAGCCCCCTCTGGGCTGGACCCCTGCAGCTGTTCAGCAGGCGCACTGCTCAGAGGTTTCGGGCAGGAAGGCCCAGGTGAAAGCACAGGGGGAGGTTAGAGAAGCAGGATGAGGAATTCAGCCAGGCCACTGACGCGAACACCCTGACTGCTGCAAAACAAGCCTGGACCTTCCTTTGTCCCATCCAGAGGGCAGGACCCTCCAGCAGCACATCACAGCCCAGTACATCCCCTCCAGCATCCCAGAGCCACTTCCTCCATTGCCCTGAGGTTTCCCATCCAGCCATTGATCAGGTCTGACCATGCTTAGCTATCCAGGTCAGACAGGCTCTCTGCCCAAGGCGGTAGAGCAGAGGCAGGACAAGGCGTGAATTTAAGGTGATCTCCACTCCGCCCGCCATGCAAATCCATCACTAACAAACAGGGACCCACCAAGGGAACCAGCTGCACTCTGAACGCAGGCACCCCTGGGGGTCAGTACAACTGGCATCTCCTCACCCCCTACCCCCGCTGCCCAGGGATGGCAGGAAACACCCTGGAAAACTCTGTCTCTGCCAGCAAGTGCAGAGGAAGCAGCAAACAGGGGAAGGAAGTAACTGCCCGAGACATGCGACTCTCACCCCCCCCCCAAGGCACTGCTGGAGAAGCAGAGCCCGGCCAGGGGGATGGAGCGCCCCCCACCGAGCACAGGAAGGCAGGGAGCTCTCACCCAGGGCTCTGCCCATCCACTCGCTCCAAGGCTCAATCTCGTTCCCCTGCACACAGCCCCCGAGAGCATGGACCCTCACTGCACATCTGGCCTGGGCAGCCGCAGAATCCAGCTCAATCTGCCCCCTGCCCCACCCACAGGCCTCCCAGTGCTGGGACAACCCTCCCAGGGGGAGCACTAATGAAGGTCCCCAGGGAGTTGGTGTCAGCAGTGGGATTCAGACTCCGCAGCCCCTGCTCCCACAGCACGGGCAGGGGCAGGGAGGTGCAGGCTTTTCAAGTCAGGGCACTTTCTCGAACGTCGACACCGGGAGCATGTCGCCATGGCCTGGCTAGGCAGGCAGGGCTCTTCTCCCAGCCCCGTAACTGTCCTCCCCACCCAACATTTTGCAACAAAACCACAGCTAGGTTTGCGGATTATGCAAACGCACAAGGAGACGGCAGTTGGGCAGCTCTGCTGGGGCCAGGGCCAGTGGGGCCACCTCTGGAGGCATCTTCAGCGCCGGTTAGGGTGACCAGATGTCCCGATTTTATAGGGACAGTCCCGATATTTGGGGCTTTTTCTTATATAGGCGCCTATTACCCCCCACCCCCATCCCGATTTTTCACACTTGCTGTCTGGTCACCCTAGCGCCGGTCCCCAGGCAGACCCACGTTTAGCACCAGGGGATCACGCCTGATCAGGGCTCCTGGGGGAAAAGCCAAGGCTGCTAGCGCCTGCTACGGGTACACAAGGTGTGTGCGGGACCAGCTCTAGGATTACCACCAGCCCGGGACCTTCGGCCAGACACCAGGCAGGAGCCCTGCAGCCAGCACGGCTAGGACGGGCCGGGCAGACTGGAAGCTAGAGCAGCCCGGGCGGGGCCCACAGCTCTGCCAAGAGGTGGGCAGATGAAAGCAGCATGCAGGGCTGGAAGTGCCCAGGTGCCTGTGACTCAGTGTTTGCAGCCCGTCCCGCCCTCCCCAGCCACCCTCGGGGAAGCAGCAGGTGCATCTACCGGCCAGGAGGGTCCGTCTGGGGGTCTGCAACAGAGCACGCCAGGGCCGGTGCATCGCTGGGGTCACAGCGCCCAGCGAGCCCAGCTCAGTGTCCCCATCCCACGCATGGGCACCTGGGCAGCGCTACCCCAACAGGGGCACAGAGACATGGGG